ATATGATTTTTCCCAGTCCCCAAACAACTTCACAATTGCCTTCATTTTAGCCTTCCTATAAGATATATTGTATCCATACAAACTTTGTACCCTCTCCTGAATAAGAATTGGTTTCGTGGATGGATCTTCTTTTAACATACCTATACAAAATTCGAAGTCAACACAATCAATAAATTTACCAAAAAAATTAAACCATAAACAAAAATTCTGTAATACATACTTATAATGGCTGCACAGATTACATCAGAATCCAGCTGTCTATGGTCCCGAGTAAGGCCTTGGTTTAGGCAAGTGTGTTTTTTTACCCCACTTACTAACAACCCAACTATTTCCATTCTTGGGCAACATAGCCCGCACGTACCAGGGACAACCATCATTATGGTGTCGACACTTCATCACAAATCTATGGTCATCACTTTTTGCCACCACAGCAGTACGATGAGACTTCATACAATATAATTTGACTGCATGTTGCATTTCAGATTTAGTTCGAAACTCCTGGTACAAATATAATGGATCCCCTAAATGCCAGCCACCGTGGATGTCATCGTCGCCATACAGTATCTCCGTCTCATCATTAGGGTGAGCCCAATTAATGAACGAATAGTGTGGGCTGTCGTTCCAAAATGGCTCAATCTCAGAACCTACGTCCAAATTTAAACTTATCCGTCAGTACGAAAGAAAACACAAATATATATATATATATGCAAAATTAAAACTTTAATTTACAATCTTACCACTGCTAACAGGGTCAACACGGAGCGGTGGCATAACCTGGGAACTCAAGTTTCCTGAACTAGTATCAGCGTCAAAATTCCCCTCTACGTCCGTATCTGAGGTGTCACCCAGCGGAATAACACTCTCGGGTTCACCATCGTCTTCACTGTCCATATCCTCGTCATGCTCATCCTCATCCTCGTCTATTTCCCTCAGTGGTATCTGACTTAAGACAGGTGCAGGTGCAGATAAACCGACCACTCTGTCTTCTTGACTTTGACTTCTTCCATGCACAGGTGCAGATGAAGATTGACCACAGTCTATTTCGACATATATCTCAATAAAGTTTTAAAATTTTCGGACCACAATTGCATCTATGACACAGTCCACATCTTCATCGTCACATATATCATTACCAATGTAGAATATAGCATCCTTACCAACTGTAGACTCTACCCTGGCGATCATCCGTTGAACGCCATGGCTGCCGTGTAGCCCCAATTTTTGGTGAATCCTCCCTTTCAGCTCATTGTACGTAGTGCCCCGTTTGATTTTCAACATTTTCGTTTTTCCTTCAAATTGAACACCGTTGGGGCCTTCATAATGCTTTCCATCATAATAAATCATGGTAACATACATGTTTGGACTTGAGCTCATCTTTCATACGAATTTTGGGGGTAGGAATCAGATTTTAGGGTTTTGGGTTCGGATTTGGGGGAAAAATTGAGAAATAAAGGAAAATGACAATGATTTCACAATTACTATGCCTTAGAGGTGGTGTGCTGAAATGGAAGGGTGATTGGAAGGTTCACAACTGACAAACAAGAGAAAGAGACCAAGGGAGGAGTTTTACATTCGAATATAATGAAAATGAGACCAAGAGAGGTCTGGATATAGGGTTTTTCGCGATCTTTAGTCGACTAAATAATGTGCTTAGTCGACTAAAAGTGCAAACAATGTAATCGATTAAGGTGAGTTTTTAGTCGACTAAAATTCACGTTTCATGATTTCTGAGTTTAGCCCATTTAGTCGATTAAAAGTGCAACTTAATCGACTAAATGAGGGCAGGATGATGGATAGTTCTGGGGGAGGGGCAAATTGGTTATTAATTATTTAATTAGGGGCAAAAGGGTCAAAAAGCCTGTAAAATGATCTTGACCTATATATATAAGTGAAAAACATGTGTGCTTTTAAAGAATACAAACTTAGATCATTTTAAGAGAGAGATAGATACAAAAAGATGAGATTCACATTTTTTTTTTTATCTTTTGTCTTAATTTTTTTCAATATGACCCACATCTCTGTGTTTATCTCTCTCTTAAAAGGCCTTAAGTTTGTGTCATTTAATAAGACACACAATTTTTTTCCTATATACAAATGGAGAAGTGAGGTTGTAGTAAATTTATGTATTAGATTAAAATTTAAATGGTTAAGATTTTTATTTTATTTTAATATAATATCTATATTACTCCCCCATGAGCCACGAGGGGGAGGTATTACACCAATAACCATACTTTTCACACAAATTTTAGTTAGTTTTTTTTTTTTGTTATTACAACATAATTATTATTATTTTTTTTTTGTAAATAAAGAGGGGCTAAGCCCCGGAAACAGAAAGAAATTACAAATCAGAAACTAACAAGCTAGACGTATTTCTAGCATCAGCAACTATAAGTTCCATCAACTGAGGAGGAGGATCTTTAAAAATCTTGAAATGGAGATTATTAGTCTGCCCAGCTTTAGCTAACCAATGAGCACATTTGTTGTTTTCTCTCTTGGTATGAACAAGATGAATAGTCCAATCTGCTTTTAACCATAATCTCAATCTGCTAGTGACTTGAGAGTCCCTAGGATCTTCATGCTGCTCCTTTAACATCTGGATGGCTTGGCTAGAATCACATTCTAGCTCTATTCTTTTTAATCCTGTTCCCCAAAGCAGTTCCAAACCTTTCAGTAATCCCCATAATTCTGCATCAAGAGGATTGCAGGAACCTAAATTACAATAGAAGCTTCCCAAAAAGGATCCATTGTGATCTCTTAATATACCACCACAACTAGCTTTTTTCATGCCACTAGAAGAAGTTCCATCACAATTCAACTTAACCCACCCTTGCTTGGGGGCTGTCCAAACGCTATCGTTGGAATCACCACGGCGCTGATAAATTCGGGCTTGCAGAATCTGTTGGACAAACATCCAAATTGAAGCCTGTGATTGCTCATCATGACAGAAATGATCTTCATGGATCTCCAAATTTCTCCACTTCCACAAAAACCAACAAGTAGTAAAGAAAATATCCCTCCAGTCCTTCACTTTATTGGAGGACCACATGTTATCGATATTTAAAGTCAACCAATCCTGCAAATTCGAATTCATAAAGGAATTGGGTATCGAACCTGTAAACCAAGATTGCCAAATTTTCCTAGCATGTCTACAATCACGAAGAACATGAATAATAGTTTCCTCATGATTTGGACAACTGGGACAGACATTTGAACCTCCGCTCCACTTACTGGTTCTGCTGCGCACTGAAAGTTTAGCAAGCAAAGTCATCCACATAAACACTTTCACTCGTTCTGGTCCATTCCACGACCAAACTTTTTTCCATAAGCTAGTGTGAACATCTGCTGGGAAGTTCATAAGATTACAGTAAGCGACCTTAACCAAAGAAGTTGAGTGATGATTATTGATCCAAACTAATCTATCCTCCCCATTCCTTGGAATAAGCCTGAGATGATTTGTTACTGCATCAGCCAAATCTGACTCCAGAAATTGATGAACAACTTCAAGACGGAAACCATCATCCACCATGTAATCTGCAATTGATTTCTGACTCTCCTCCCACGGCACCTGATTGCTCGACAACTGCTGCAAATTTTCCTCCCATCCCAACCAGTTATCAGTCCAAAGCTTTACTTCAGAACCATCTGCTATTTCCCATCTAAGACCAGCAAGGAAATTACTCCAACATTTAGCAAGATCACGCCAAAGTTTAGAGTCATATGATTTTGCCTTTATACCTCTCCTTAAGTCTTGACCTCTACCATACTTGGCTACTAAAATCTTAACCCATAAATCATCTTTCTTAGTTAACACCTTCCACGCCAGTTTATGAATATAAGCTTCATTTTGGAGTCGAAGGTTAATTATTCCCAAACCACCTCTATCTTTGGGTTTATACATTTGATCCCAAGCTACTAAATGAGCCCGCCTTCTGCTATCCTGATCTCCCCAAATGAAAGCCCTTTGTATATGCTCAATTTCATCACAAAATGTTACTGGTAAAAGACCATTCTGCATATGGAAAGAAGGGATTGCAGCAATGACCGATTTCACCAAAGTAACTCGACCAGCAAAAGAAAGGCAATGGCTTTTCCAACCATCCAGTTTTGAACGTATCCTATCCTTGATAGCTCCATAGTCTGCTTTAATATATCTCCCTTGTTTAACAATAGAGCCTAAATATCTGCCAATACTAGAAGTGCGCTTAAAGCCCATTCTGTTGACAATCCTTGTAGCAACTTGAGTATCAGTATTCGGGGAAAAATAAATCAAAGATTTATTTGCATTAACACTTTGCCCCGACATCTCACAAAAGAGATTAATACAATCCATAATCACCTTAGCTTGCTCCATATCTGCTTCCGCAAAGAGAATGATATCATCTGCAAATAAAAGGTGGGATACACTCGGCCCTCTTCTGCAGACTCTAATAGGCTTCCACGAACCCATAGTCACTTTTTCAGCGATCAAGTGGGAAAGCTTCTCAACACACAACACAAAAATATAAGGAGATATTGGATCCCCTTGACGAATTCCTCTCTGAAGAACTATGCAATCCGAAGCCACACCATTTATCAAGACCCTCGAACGATTAGAAGTTATAGAAGCCATTTACAACATAATTATTAGTGCATAGTATTACGATAGCGTCATCAATTATATTTCAAGATAAGGTTACATTTAGTCAACTAATAGTGTCATTAATTACTTTAAAGTAATTTTATCTAACAGGAAAATAAAATAATATCAACGATTCAACATGCAATTTAATCCCAATCCCAGCATTCAAATCATTTCTTTTTCCAAACATTAAAAAAATAAAATAAAAAATCTTTTACCATTAGACTGATCCAATGGAGAATGTCTATTGGGCCTAAAAGTAAGTATAGAAGGAGGTTCAATCCGACCCGGCCCGAACCAACTCGGAAACGTTGCTCCATTATGGCGTTCAAGGTTTTAAGGTTAACAAGGTTTTAAGGTGAGAACAAAGTCGAAGAAGAAATCGAACCTTTTTCTGCATAACAATGTCACCCAGCTTCCTGTTTGAACCTCCCAGCGACGAAGAAATCGAACACTCGGAACACGAAGAAGAAGCTGAATCTGAATCTGAACCTGAACCAGAATCAGAATCAGAATCAGAATCAGAAGAACATAAGGAAGCACGAGTTTCAAAGAAGAAAACGCAGTCTCCATGGGACTTCGCCAAATATTCGGAATCTGTCGCCGAGGAGCACGCTCGCCGGAGCACAACCTCCGTCGACGAGAAAATCTCCAAAGCCCTCAGACAACGTTCCACGCCGCTCGTTGCAGTGCCCGACCAAGACCACGACAGCTCTGATTCCGAACCCGACCAACAAGTAATAGTGGGATTTTCGTTTACATGTGACAAAAAAAGTGCTTAGTTGTGTCAAATATTGTTTTTTTTCCTTCACTTTTTGTTTAGGAAGATTATTAAAAATGTGCTTGTTAGTTTCAGAAGTTTCCTTTTGATTCATGATAGAAAAAAGGTCTTATTTGTTTCAAAAATTGATTGATTGATTTATTTATTTTGGTTTGTTTTGTGTAGGAAGATTATAGAGAGGAAGAAGAAGATGAAGAAGAGGGTAATGGTGGTGATAGCAAGTCCTTTTTTGCTCCTTCTGATGGAGCCTCTTTCCATGCTGATTCCTTCTTACAGCTCAATTTGTCTCGCCCGTTGCTCCGGGCTTGTGAGGCCTTGGGGTATGCAAAACCAACACCAATTCAGGTTTTTTTTTCTTTCTTAGGATTATTGTTTTTATGTAATTCCATGCTATGTAGGAAGGACACTTTGCCTTGAAAAATTTACTTTGCTTTATCTTTTGAGTCTTAGCATTGTTGGAATTGGTTGTGTAATCTCATGCTGTGATGGACACTTTGCCTTGAAATTTTCACATTGTTTGGATTTTGAATTTTGATGGTAGGCGGCATGTGTACCATTGGCATTGACTGGTCGTGATATATGTGGAAGTGCCATTACTGGATCGGGGAAGGTAGTATCTCTGTTACTTTTCTTCGGGTGATTGTAAATTTGTGACACTATGTTACTGAGGTTTAGTGCCTGAGTTTTTGTACCATGGTGTTTCTTTTAATGCCCTTTGTTTGTATCCGGCTATTGTGTTTCCATGCAGACGGCTGCATTTGCACTGCCTACTTTAGAGAGGTTGTTGTTCCGTCCAAAACGCATGCATGCAATAAGGGTCCTCATTCTTACTCCAACCAGAGAATTGGCTGTCCAGTAAGTATTCTCATAATTGTTTGTTCTCATTATTGCTTTTGGATCACATTTAATGTGTAAGAGCATTCCAAATATTTAGTTGTCCCGCAAAGGAAGTGGCTTATAGATACTGAACTGAAGTGTAGTGTGAATGTTCTTTTCTTTTATTTGGCTGAGTATGCTGTGTGCCTACTAATAATATACATGAACAAGTAGGATGGACTTTTATGGCTTTGCATGCATGTTCTTCAGTGCCACCCATTCTAAAGCCTGAACTTCAGTGAGTATACATGGCTCTCAGTTCATGGTTGTGCATTGGATGAATCTAATTTTTTGGAATACTCATGGCTTTTTTTGTGTGTGTTTTTTGTAATTAAATTAATATAATAAGTTATCATTCCAAATTTAAGTACACTCTTGTAAATGTTCAAATTCAAAGCAGGCTTCTTTTAAATTAAGCATTTTTTAAATTATCAAGTTCTTCCATTGGAAGGTTGTAGATGTAAAATTTTAGAAGTACACTTCTATTGTGATTCATGTTAATTTCTTTCCAAATATATTTATTCCTAATTATTTTTGGCAGAGTTCACAGTATGATAGAGAAGCTTGCTCAGTTTACTGATATAAGGTGTTGCCTGGTTGTTGGGGGTCTGTCAACAAAGGTTTGATTACTGTTTCAATTTCACGATGACTTAATTTCTAAGATGTGCTGGTGGTTCAGAAGAGAGTTATGTGTTTCTTGTGATGCTTTCAGTATGTTGTTTGGGTTTAAAATATCTTCTACTGCATTCTGTCTTTTATACAGTTCCATCTATAATTCTGATAAATGTTGGTCATGTCACAATATATTCCTGTCTGTTTGACATCTTTGAGTATAGTATTTGATTTGATCTCTATTTTTGGTCGATGATATGCGCTGCTGTAACAAAAAGCATTTTGTAACAACGTGGATCTTTTCTCACGACTTACCAGATAAACGCTCCTTTTAAAAAATATTTCTAACTAATCAACTTGGAAAATAAAAAGGATTTGTATTTGATAAACCAAATGTTATTTATTTTTTCATAACTGTGCTTCATCTCATTTTTGAACAAATGTTATCTCATCATATTGATGATATATATCACATGGTAAGGTGATTTTTTTTTACGAATGAGAATAATGCAATGTGGCTTTCTAGTTTTAAATATTCCCCCTATTATACTTGGTTGGTAATGCAGACTGTATCCTGTGCCATTTGTGCTTTAAAAGTGGTCATTTCTCATCTTAGGTGCAAGAGGCTGCCTTGAGATCAATGCCAGACATTGTTGTGGCTACTCCAGGACGCATGATAGATCATTTACGCAATTCTATGTCGGTGGATTTGGATGACCTTGCTGTTCTAATCCTTGATGAGGCAGATCGTCTTTTGGAGCTTGGATTTAATGCTGAAATTAATGAACTTGTAAGTTTAAGTAACCCAATAACGCAATAACTGTTATAGTTAAATATGTTGTTGTTATCAAAAAAAAAAAAAAAAATATGTTGTTTTACAATTTGTCTTGCTTTCAATTTTGGTAAGAAAAAAATGTCAAGCAAGTTTGGACGTTTGACAGGTTCGCTTGTGTCCCAAAAAAAGGCAGACCATGCTATTTTCCGCAACCATGACTGAGGAGGTTGACGAACTTATTAAACTTTCTCTGTCTAAACCCTTGCGTCTTTCTGCTGACCCATCTACTAAACGGCCAGCTACCTTGACTGAGGAGTAATTTCTGCACTATTTGTCTTTCCAGTTTTGATTATTTTCAAATTTCATCATTCATTTTCATTTTCATTGACTTCTGTTCTGTATCAACATCAACATCAACAACCCAAGCTAATTGGGGTCGGTTAGATGAACCCAATGATAAATACGAGGAGATTGAAAAAAAGAAAAAAGAAAAAAAAAGAAATGGGGTAGGGGAAATAAAATAAAAGAAAAGAAGGGGAAAAGAAGGAGGGGGGTTGAAGAGGATAAAGACTAAAAAGGGACCATCTGTGCAATAGTGATAAAATCACAAGTCATTCTGAAAGAGAATTCAACGAGTAATACTTTTAAATGTCCCCCTCTGTGCGAACCTTTCAGTGGGATGAACATAGAGGCTTTTTAAACTTTGAGAAGAAGATATAGAAGAGTGTGGTTTGTGCTCTTGTAGAGTATTACTATTTTGTATCCATAAAACATAATTATGCAAAACTATTATGTTAAATTTTTTGGAAATTTACATGGTTTTAGAATCTAGTTAAATCCCTTGAGCCCTGTTAACTACTGCTTTTCTTTTTCAGGGTGGTTAGAATACGGAGAATGCGTGAAGTAAATCAGGAAGCAGTTCTTCTGGCAATGTGCACCAAAACTTTCACTTCTAAAGTTATCATCTTCAGGTTTCATTTCATCATCATTTATTATACTTAAACATGCGGTTTGTGATTGTTGATTTCCTGAATTGTTAGTGAATTCTCTGTTGTAAATAATATTGATTTAGTTATTATTTAGTTTATTGTTGTATTGGGCCAAGCCCTTTGTTGTATTGGGCCAAGGCCTTTAGGTTAAAAGTAGGTCACATATTCTCTATAAATAGAGAATCCCTTGTACACATTATTTACAATTCTAAAATATATCAGAATACCCTTTTTCAAGTTGGTATCAGAGCACTCGATCTTGAGGGCTCTGCTTCCGCGCCTACGAAATCCATTTTTTTGTTTTCCATCTCTCGCTGCCATCAGCCGCCACCGGAAAAATTTTCCAGGGACCTCTTGGACCGAGAGATCATTGCTTCTCTTTGTTTCTCTCTCATCTTCCTCAATAACAAGACCCCAAACTGAACCGTTTCACGTCACCTCCAAACAGAAGCGTTTTTCACTAACCAAGAACACTGTTCATCGCGATTGACCTTCTTTTTGGCGGCCATTCAACTCCGATCAGCCCCAGATAGGTTCGCAACCCTTGGACGACCTTCGCCTGAAAAGCCCAGCCCGATCGGACGTCAGACGCGCCTCCACGCGCCGCTTCTTTCCCTGCGCGTGAATCTCACGCGCCGCCAGCTTCACCGGCGCGTGACAGCGCGTGACGGTTGCTATTGGCTGCAGACCGGTGCAGTCTTGACCGACTCTCCAAGCTCTTTCTGGATCTGTGCTCACCTCTTTGATCGGACCTCGTTTGGTAATTTTTCGTGATTTTTTGGCTTCTTAGTACTATTCCTTGAGTTGTTTTGCAGTATGGCCGCTTCCGACGATGATTCAACTCTAAACTTATCTGAAAAAAATTCTACCTCATCTGTGGTGACCCCTCTTGGTCACAATGATCTTCCAAATCTACATCAGAGTTATCGATTTGACGGATCAAATTATTTGTCATGGTCTCAGTTCATTCGTACTACCATCAAGAGTCGCAATAAGATTGCTCATCTTGATGGCCCTGCTCCTGCTGCCACGGATCCCGATTTTGCTGTTTGGGATAATGAGGATTCTCTATCATGACTTGGTTGTGGAATTCGATGACTCCTGAAGTGGGTCGTCATTGTATGTTCTTGTCTTCTGCTATGGAGATTTGGGAAACTGTCCGCTCCACTTATTCCTTGAAACAGGATATGGCTGCGCGCTATGAATTGCGCAATAAAATATTCACTACAAAACAAGATTCTTTATCCGTGACTGAGTACTATGGCACCTTGAAGGAATTATGGACTGAACTTGATCAATTTCAGAGTTTGAAGATGAAATGTACTGCAGATGCTACTGCTTTAGCCAAGGAGGTAGAAAATGAGCGTATTTTTGATTTTCTTGCTGGTTTGAATTCCGAGTATGATCCTATTCGGGTTCAGATACTTGGCAAAGAAACTTTTCCATCCCTTTCTGCTGTTTTCAATACTGTTCGGGGAGAGGAGAATCGTCGGGGTGTTATGATGAACCCTGATAAATCTATCATGTTATCATCAAAAGATGGTGCTGCTTCTAAACCCACTGATGGGTCTGCTATGATTTCAACAAAAAAAGATGGTTCTACTTACAGGAGTTCCTTTCCAAAATATTCTGATGGAGCATCTTCTGGACCTAAGAAAGATGATCGCTGGTGTTCTTATTGTAAAAGAACAGGTCATATCAAGGATCTATGCTATCGCCTCCATGGAAAACAAACTGTCTTAGAAAAGATGGCAAGGATGCGTGGTCAAGCGCATTTTACTTCTTCTGATATAGCTCCTACACCTAATGAGACCCAACCTGCATTTCGTCCAGATGAGTTGGAACGACTTCGAACCATACTTGATTCTCTGAGTAAGCCATCTGGTACTAGTGATTTGGCTATGACTGGTATGAGCTCCAAAATTTCTTCTTTTCTTACTTCATGTATTGATTTTAAACATTCTTGGGTTGTTGATTCTGGTGCTACTGATCATATGGCTTGTTGTGCTGACCCCTTTGTTTCTTATAACCCTACCATTGGCACTCATACGATAGCCGTAGCTGATGGCTCCCATACATCAGTTGCGGGTTCTGGTAACATAAAATTACAGCCTTCCTTACATCTCAAAGATGCTCTTCATGTCCCTAAACTTTCTACTAATCTTCTTTCTATTCATAAAATTACAAAAGATTTAAATTGCACTGTAACCTTCTTTCCTACTCACCGTGTTTTTCAGGATCTCGCCACAGGGAAGACGATTGGGGGTGCTAAAGAGCAAGGTGGACTGTATTATCTGGTGTCACAATCTCCTGCAACTCATGTTAAGGATCACATCTTACTGTCACATGGCCAGTCAACTGCTGATTCTCTGATTTGGCTTCATCATAAGCGCTTGGGACATCCTCCATTTAGTTTACTTAAGTCTTTATTTCCGTCTTTGTTTTTGTCTAAGTCTGTTGAGTCTTATCATTGTGATGTTTGTGAGTTTGCTAAGCATCATCGTGTGTCTTTCCCTTCTAGTATTACTAAAAGTGTTGAACCTTTTGATCTTATTCATTCTGATGTTTGGGGTCCTTCTAAGGTCCCTCATTCTTCTGGAAATAAATGGTTTGTTTCTTTTATTGATGATTGCACTCGTGTAACTTGGGTTTACTTAATGCATGAAAAGTGAGGTACCAAAACTGTTCTTTCAATTTTATAAAATGATTGAGACTCAATTTTGTAAAAAAATCAAAAGACTAAGGACAGATAATGGTACTGAATATGTCAATCACTCTTTTTCCCAATTTATACAAAATCAAGGTATGATTCATGAACTTACATGTGTAGACACCCCTCAACAAAATGGGGTTGCTGAAAGGAAAAATCGTCACCTTCTTGAAGTTGCTCGTGCCTTATTGTTTCAAACACATGTACCCAAATGCTATTGGGGAGATGCCATTCTTACTGCAGAATTCCTGATCAATCGTCTACCCACTCGGGTTCTCGATCATGTAAGTCCTATTCACTCCATGACTTTTTTTTTTTCTTGTATTCCAACTTTGCAAAGTCTTCCCCCTCGAGTGTTTGGGTGTGTTGTCTTTGTTCATATTCATAAACAGCATCGCAGTAAGTTGGATCCTAGGGCTCTTAAATGTGTCTTCCTTGGATATGCTCCTGATAAGAAGGGCTACAAGTGTTATCACCCTGGAAGTCGGAAATTTTTTGTTTCTATGGATGTTACATTTCAGGAATCTGAGTCCTTTTTCCAAGGTCCTCATCTTCAGGGGGAGAATGATTCACCAGAAGACTCATCACCTTCCTTCTTTGAAACTTCAGTGTCTACTCCTTCACCTGTGTCAGTGTCTCTTCCTCTTGTTCTTGTTCCTAATGTGTCTATGACTGATCCTCCTATGACTGATACATCAAGTACACAAGAGATACGGAAGATTGTAACACCTGAATTGGTATATCAAAGAAGGAAACAGCCTACATTGCCTCAACAGCAACCTCAATCGTCTGAACCACTGGTAAGTCTTGAATCTCATATTTCTGATCATGATACTTCTGATGACTTACCCATTACTACTGCTTCTGATGATTTACCCATTGCTTTAAGAAAAGGAAAAAGATCTTGTTCCAAGAAATCTTGTTCTTCCTGTCCCTCTTGTACTCAATACCCTATCTCCCATTTTGTTTCCTCTGCTAATCTTTCTGTGCAGCACAAAAGCTTTGTTTCAGCACTAGATTCTACTTCAATCCCAAAATCAGTACATGAAGCTTTGAGAGATGGGAATTGGGCTCAAGCCATGCAAGAGGAGATGAATGCGTTGGAGAAAAATAAAACATGGGAGGTTATTGATAGACCCAACGGAAAGAAAGCAGTAGGGTGCAGATGGGTTTATACCCTAAAATATAATTCTGATGGCACTCTTGAGAGATACAAGGCTCGATTAGTCGCCAAAGGTTACACTCAAACCTATGGCATTGATTATGAAGAAACCTTTGCTCCAGTTGCAGAAATGAATACAGTGAGAATCTTGTTGTCCCTTGCTGCCCATTACAATTGGGATATAAATCAATTTGATGTGAAAAATGCTTTCCTCAATGGTGAGTTAGAAGAAGAAGTCTACATGGAAATCCCGCCTGGTTTTGATTCTGTGAAGGGGGAAAATAAAGTTTGTCGATTAAAAAAGGCCTTGTATGGATTGAAGCAGTCACCTCGTGCTTGGTTTGGGAGGTTTACTAAGGTTATGATGACCTTAGGATATAGACAGAGTCAAGGAGATCACACTCTTTTCTTTAAGCACTCCCAAAACGGGAAGCTTACTGTGCTCCTTGTATATGTTGATGATATTATTATCACAGGTAATGATTTTGTGGAGAGACAGATTCTGCAGACACGGCTTGCCTCTGAGTTCGAAGTCAAAGACCTTGGGAAACTGAGATATTTCCTAGGGATAGAAGTAGCTCATTCAAGCAAAGGAATTTTTATCAGCCAAAGGAAATATGTTCTTGATCTTCTCAAAGAAGCAGGAAAGCTCGGATGTAAACCCTCTAATACTCCTATTGAGCAGAATCACAAGATGGGCTATGAAGAAGAGAGTCCTCCAGTTGATAAAGGACAATATCAACGGCTAGTTGGGAAATTGATATATCTGGCCCATACCAGACCAGACCTAGCTTATGCTGTTAGTGTTGTCAGTCAGTTTATGCACAATCCAAAGGAAAAACACATGCAGGCTGTAGAGAGAATTCTTCAGTATCTTAAAGGTACTCCTGGTAAAGGATTGTTATTCCGACGTGATGGCAATCTATCTTTAGAAGTCTACGCAGATGCTGATTATGCTGGATCCATGACTGACCGTCGTTCTACCACTGGTTATTGCATGTTTCTTTGCGGTAACTTGGTGACATGGAGAAGTAAGAAACAAGATGTGGTTGCCAGATCAAGTGCAGAAGCTGAATTTCGAGCTATGGCTCAAGGCATTTGTGAGTTACTGTGGCTGAAAATTGTACTTGATGATCTCAAAATAAAATGTGAGGGACCTATGAAGCTGCTATGTGATAATAAGTCCGCTATTTGTATAGCTCATAATCCAGTTCAACATGATCGGACTAAACATATTGAGGTCGACCGCCATTTCATCAAAGAGAAACTTGATAGCGGGTTGATTACCACTCCATACATTCCCACTGGGCGTCAATTAGCTGATCTATTAACAAAGGGGCTTCCTTCAGACAGATTTCAAGAACTTACTAGCAAGCTGGGAATGATAAATATCTATTCCTCAGCTTGAGGGGGAGTGTTGTAAATAATATTGATTTAGTTATTATTTAGTTTATTGTTGTATTGGGCCAAGCCCTTTGTTGTATTGGGCCAAGGCCTTTAGGTTAAAAGTAGGTCACATATTCTCTATAAATAGAGAATCCCTTGTACACATTATTTACAATTCTAAAATATATCAGAATACCCTTTTTCAAGTTTCTCTTATATAGCTATTTGATGAATCTGATCGGCAATAACTATTAGGTTGATTATACTATGATCCTAGCGTTCATATGAATGATGCCTCTTATTCTAGTGGTTGGTCAGCACATTGATGGTTGTAGCTCTCTAGTTGCATGGAACCTTTCTATGATTTCAAGAAACTCAATCTTTTTTGTCCTCTATTACAGATTTAAATCTACTTCCTTCATTTGCACTACTTTTCTGTTAACTCTAACTGCTTAATAATCTATCATTTTGTATGCAGTGGAACAAAGCAAGCTGCGCATAGATTGAAGATTATGTTTGGTTTAGCTGGCTTGAAAGCTGCTGAGCTTCATGGAAATCTTACTCAAGCCCAGCGCCTTGAAGTATGTTGCTTATTTTGATCTGTGTACTATTTGTGTATGTTGGTTCTTTGGTTTGCTTTGCAGTTATGTTACTGTCACATTTTTAGGATAATAAATGGTGATGTTCCCGTTGATTTGGTTTGATTTTTGTTTTCCTGTTGAAAGGATTTGCTTTATTGAATGTGGTTGTGACAATATTTGCTCTCTTTTGGTTATTTGTACAGGCTTTGGAACAGTTCAGGAAGCAGCAAGTGGAGTTTTTGGTTGCAACTGATGTGGCTGCTCGTGTAAGAATCAATTCTTGAAGTTTATTTCTTCTTTTCTCACTTTGTATGCTGTATTAGTATCTCAAACACCCCTTATCATCCCTTATTGCGCATCCCAGGATAAGAATAGTGAATTTACCTTATCTTAAGGGGAACATACAATTATTATTTTTTTTGGCTTAGTAGCATTTTATTTTTTCATTTTGGATATAGATTTGAAAGTGTCCATATAATTTTACTTGTAGGGCCTTGACATTATTGGTGTTCAAACGGTTATCAACTTTGCATGTCCGCGTGATCTTACCAGGTATAACCATATGATCCATTTTGATAGTAACTCTGCTCTTGAAGATTAATATTTTGACATGTTGATGTTTTATTGTACATCCTGCAGTTTTTGTCTCCTTGCTTCATTACTTATTAAGTTACAATTTCTCATACATGATAACATGTTGATCTCTCCTAAAACATTATCTCATTCTCTCTCTGGGCTTCCTGATGACTTTAATATCTTTTATAACTCTGAAGCTATGTTCATCGAGTGGGTCGTACAGCAAGAGCTGGAAGAGAAGGATATGCTGTCACATTTGTGACTGATAATGACCGGTCTCTTTTAAAAGCCATTGTGAGTATCATTTGTAGAATTGCTGCATCTGTTTTCATGTTTATTTTTTGGTGTCTATGTTACTTAATATATTTCCTTGCCCAGATTTCCTTAAATGATAAAATAGTCATGCAAGCTGATCGGTATTTTGAGCCTCACTTGCATAGATTCTTAGTTAATATAAGTTAATTAACTTTTGCCAGAGTTAGTCATTCAAGTTTGACATTTCATGAGAAAGTTTCTACATCAAAGATGCATATAGCATCCCTTACAGAGAAATATCTCAATTTTGATGGTGTTCTTTGCAAGTCATTAGGTATCTGCTAGTTTTAGTTTTCCTATGGTCTGGATTATATGGTCCTGTAATATTAATCACTTCATATAAATATGCCTGAAGAAAACCAAGATATCTTTATTCTTTTCAGAGGTTGCTGTATGTTTAATTCTACTACTAATTTGGCTGTTTCCTACTTGAAAAGTTTATTGATTCTCTGTTAAGATAGAGAACATGCAAAAGGAAAAAGAAAGCTGAAGTTTTAAATGAATCATTAAATAATCTTTCTTGTAAATGTTGATTTTCGATTAATTAGGCAAAGAGGGCGGGTTCAAAGCTGAAAAGCCGCATTGTTGCAGAGCAATCTATACTTAAGTGGTCTCATATAATTGAGCAAATGGAGGATCAAATTGCTGATGTACTTCAAGAAGAGAGGTTTTGATTATATTTAATTGTTAAGTCTTCATTCGTTTTCCTTTTTTTTTTCTTTTTAATATTGTACTGTATTTATAATTTTATGTATTTAAATTTATTCAGGGAAGAAAGAGTCCTAAGGAAAGCTGAAATGGAGGCCACAAAGGTATGATCATTTATTCTTTTGTTCTACTTGCCTACAAACCTGGTATGCGTTGGATTAAACAAATCTAATTATGTCCACTTTTTGTGCGTTCACATCTTGTCTAAGAAATAGCATTTCCAAAGTCGTATCACTTAGAAAATTGTATTATCTTAAACAGTACTGTATTGTATCCTGTGGCTTTGGAACCCTATATTGATATATTTTGTTTTCTCGTCCTACAAATTTCCCCTTCAATAGAATCACGCCCTTATATGATATTGGCAGGCTGAAAACATGATTGCACATAAGGAAGAAATCTATTCCCGCCCCAAAAGAACATGGTTTGTCACAGAGAAGGAGAAGAAGCTTGTTGCGAAAGCAGCCAAGGTAAGATTGTTTCATCTTGCTGTTATTCCTTAAATTACGGCCATTTTTTCTCCCATTTGAGGCATACTACTCTTTCTAAGAACAATCTGGTTGGGGATAAATTGTGTGTCTGGACAATCCACTAAAGGTCTTGATATATGTTTGTGTTGGAATTAATTACAATGATTCAATACTAATTCGACAGATATACAATCGCAATTTAGATCCTAATGTTTCTCCTAATGGATCCTATCATATTTACATGATATTTGACCATAAATATCTAGGTTGTCTGACAATTATAATGCATGTGTATTGTGTAGAAGGTTAGCTATTTCCCTTGTATGTTGCAATCTTTAGCAGTGAAGGTGACATGCTAGGTGAACCTATGATTAAATGATAAGTTTTGTAGTTCAAATTCTCTATCTTGGGTAATATGTAGCCTGGTGTTGATAAGAAATGAAATGACTGTTAACAGGCATCCATGGATAAGGAAAAGGGTTCTAGGAAGGAGGTAATTAGTGCCCAACAAGCTGATGACCTCAGAACGAAGGAAAAGAGGAAGCGAGAGCGAGAGGTAAGAAGTGTTTCCCAATTCTGTTGTGCATACAGATTTCTTTGTTTTAACACATGTAAAATGTACATAAGCTTTGCTTATATGCTTTGTTATTTCTTTACTTGATGGAAATATCTTTGGTGTAGAAAAATTTGCCTAGAAAGAAGCGTAGAAAATTGGAAGCAGCTAGAGAGATGTTGGAAGATGAGGGACAGGATGACAAGCCAGGAGAAGTATGCACTCCTTATCTTTCCTATAAACTATGCAGTGAAGGTTGGTTCATCACCATGTGTTACACTTAAAATGAAATGCATAAAATTGCAGGCTAAGGGGTCAGATAAGAAAGAAAAGGGTGGAATGTCACTTGTTGATCTTGCTTACCGACGAGCAAAAGCAGTGAAGGCTGTCAAGAAGGCGTTAGATGCTGGCAAGATTGTGAAGAAGAGTACAAAGAAACCTAATCATCCTTCCCGAAAGGCTACTTCAAGGACTGAAGAGATGCGGGAGCTATTCCAGACTGACATGAAGGATAAAAAGCCCAAAAAGAGAGGTGTTGGTGAAGGAAAGAAGTCCAAGAGTTCATTCAAAAGCAAGTCAAGGTATTAATTAAAAACCTTGTCTCACTTATTGAACTAATGTTTCTGAGCTTTTAAGCATCTAACATAATATTGATTTCACCTTGATTGAGTCATCAAAAAATATTTTACTTCTGAAGTTGGATTGATCTGGGGCGAGGCTTTTGAGAGGTCAACGTAAGGAATAATGATATAATCAACTGAATTCCTTTTCCCTCTTTTTTCATTTTCGTGGTGATCAATTTGTATTTAAATTTTTTTACCTTGGGGTTGTCCTTCTGCTGGCACTTTAGATCATCTCCTCTAAGTTGAAAGCAAAACATAGCAGTCAATAAAGTTAAGAGATTTTATTTTATTTTTATAAGTAAAATATGTACTGCACAACTATCTCTCTCTCCTCCAATGGTTTTAGGTGCCTACTGCAAGTGTAATACATTCCTACTTGTAGTTGCTCTGTCTTGGGGGTATTATGTAGGTATATCATGAAAACATACGTTCTATGCTGAAAGCCAAATAAACAGTCCAACTTTGCTTGTTTGTCATCATATGCTACACTACTTATGTTTCCTTTAAATTAATATAAAATTTTCCCGTGGTTTATTGAAGTGGTTATTTTATGGTAAGTGAGATATTTAGCTGCAATAAGTTTTATTTTTTGTTGTTGTTAAACATGGTGAAAAATCAGATTATTTTTAAAAGGAGGAACTGCTAACTTTCTGCATATCAGCATTTAGTGCTAATGAATAAAATCTTGTTCAAATTCCTTTTCAGGTACAAGCGCAAGTAGTCTGTGAGGCTAGTAATCCTTTCCATAAAAATGTGCATGGAAGGACCATAAACCTGCAATACATGTTCTTGTTGTTGACCTGAGATGTATTCAAATGCTAATACCATATCCAATCCACTATTGGAGTTGTGTTTAAATGAGCCTCCACCTGTCAATATCAGCTGAAGCCATGGCGTTTTTTTTTTTTGAGCATCGTGACAGGTGTGTCATCAATGTGGGGGATGGTGGCAGTAACTACTACTGCTAATACCCGTTTTCATTATTATTATTGTGTCGATTGTATCTTGATTCTTATGCCAATTGGACTAGTAGTTAAGCAACATATATTAATAGCTGCTCAATTTTGTAACCAAACATCAGATTTCTTTACAAATGTTAGCAATAGAAAAATATTTATTTCATAAAACTCTTCTTAATTTCTTTGCTTCTTCTGACATTAAAATGTCGTTAAGGCGCCATCATTTATGCATGATGGTGCCATGTTGACCTTTGGTGCGTAGTTATAATGACCAATTTAATGAGGCAAGGAAGACCAAGTTTGTAACTTAAATGCTCCTAATTGACGCCTAAACTATTCCAGTGGCTAATTTTTTAGAAATTCATTAGGTTAATGGGGTTTGATTTTCTCTTGTATGAGAATTGAATTCTCATATTGTGACTCAACTAGTGGTGGGTTCTATATTTATTAAAAAGAGGAAAAGAAAAGAAAATCTTTGCACGCAAATTGAAGGGTCATAATATGAGAATTGAATTCTCATGCAATATGAGAAAATATTTTTCCTAGGTTAATATGCATTAACTGTATAAAGAGCATGTTTGACACAATTTTTTTAAGTTATTAAAAAATAAAGCTGAAAGTTATTTGATGATTTTATGAAGGTATTTTTAGGGTTTTAAAGGAAGGAGATAAAATGATGGGTTTTATTAATTTCATTAAAGGAGATAAGTTATCTCATGTCATAAAGATAAATTTGTGGGCTTCATTACCTGAAAAATAAAAATAAAAGAAAAGAAAAAGGTGACACATATATCGAATGGTGTGTAGAAGAGAAAATTATCATATGTAGCATAAGACTAATTTTTTCATAAAATGATTTGTCATTAGAATAAATTGTTAGGATAAAAGATAAAAGTTTATAAATACAAATTTAGAAAATGATAAAATTATAAAATATGGATGCAGAATTCAAAAGGTTGATATATATTTAAAAAAAAAAAGCTTTTCATAATCATAAGATCTTTTAGTTTTTTTCTTTATCATAAAAAAAACTTTTTCTGGACATAATAAGAGGTCCATATTCAAAGTCTTTACCATTAAGCAAAGACCCCGAGTCAACAAAGGCTATTAGTTCACCTCCAAGATACTTCTCTTTCAAGATACTAGTCCACGACGCTTATCTCAACCACCTACATTAACTAATTAAAAAGATTTGCCGTCTCACAACTTGCAAACAACTTAGAGCTGGTTATCTCTCCTCATCTCTCTACCAAGTTGGACATCTCTTCACTATAGATACATGTGTTAACCCAAAGGTATACATTTTTTTCTACATGAATAAACCTGTTTGAACCAAATCTGACTTAAGCTTCAGTATCTGGTTTAAGTAAAGATACATGAGTTAAAGTTGCTTCAAACTATTTGTGTATAGGAAGATCACATGGTCATCCCTACTTGATAAAGATGGATTTGATCAATTATAGTTAGCTAACTTTTGTTTTTAAAGAGAAGAGAAGTTAAAAATAAGATATGCGCACAAAATATAATGGGCACAGAATTAGGAATATAATATTATGCCTACTTCACGTACTCTTTTTTAATATTATTAGATCAGAATTTTAATTATTCTTTATTTTTTTTTTCTCTTCTTGATATTCTAATCCAATGATATTAAAGAAAAATAGGTATAAAAAAACATAGGTATAATATTATATTCCATGAAACTATAAATTGAATTGTTTTAAAGCATGGTGAAAGAACAAAGCGGGATTAGTTTTTTGTCATTACGTAAAACTCCACGTACAATTTCATTAAATTTTTTGAAGTGAAAGGAACCGATTTCATTTTTTTTTTTCTTCAATTGCAACTTCTAAAAGACGGGAAAGTGAACGCATCCAATTAATTTTTTAATTTTCATTTTTTTATATTGTCTTCAATTAAATATGAATATAAAATGAACAAATATAATTAATTAAAGGTTTAACTTGAATAAAAAAAATTAACTTAAGCAATTTGAAAAATTGTGTTTAAAAGTAATAATGGAGAGCGTGAGAATGCATTCTTGGGGAGGGAGCTGAACTTTTAGCCATCCCTGTTCCCCCGCACTCCGGATTAGTCCCATAGCCGGCTCAAAGAGTCGAAGCTCGTGGGGATATCGGAGAGAGCCAACTCGTCTCAAAGAGATAATTAGGATTGGGTAACTCCAAAAAAAAAAAAAAAAAAAAGAGAGGATAAGTCGGCGTTAATAGCTTCATCGGTGTCATTTGTTAAGTTCCTTTCAAGGGACAAAAGCAATTCTGGTTTTCATTCTTAAATATCCGAGAATCAACGCTTACTAACACATGGATAGCGCTTACCCTCCGACACTATCGTTTGAGAACTTTGATGTCTTGGATCATGCTTAACCTCTTTTTTTCTCCAAATCATGTATGTTAAAAGGAACATATTTATTGCATAAATGCTATCTTATATCGATACTTCAAAAAACTGAAGTGTCATATTCAATACCCTAACACTTTATGACGTTTTCGGACACTTTGTAATACTTCAACATTTATAATATTTAAAGTTTCATTATATATCATAAAAAAATTGGTCAATATTTTACTAAATTGATATAATAAAAATGAAAAATAGATACCAAATAAATTTCACTGAAATGTAGAAGAGATTTTCAATTTGAAAATATAATAATAAATATTCACATTTATATTTCTTTACAAAATTAATGAGTATTTTAGGTTTAATTTTATTTTTTTGGTTAAATTATTGAATATTAAATATAATACACACTACATAAATTAAAAATATTTTTTAATATCAGAACATGTCGAAATCTAATATTTTTAGAATTAATGTGTCGAAGTGTCGTGTCCCATATTTCGTGTCAGAGTATCGGTACAACGTAACATAATGTATATGTATTGGCACGATATACTACAAGTCATGTAAATTTTGATAACTAATTAAAATAAAATCTATGTTTGAAGATTCATTGGATGCAAGTTAATCGGTTAACAAGAATTTAGTAAAACAAAAAGTATTGATTTAATTCCTCACTTTTGATATGTACCAATAGTACAGGCCAAAGATTATTAGAAGCTCACACGCCTAAGGTAAAGGACCCATCACGAGATTTAGCTCTAAAGCTCCTACACACTATTCGCGGGAATACATCAGTACGTAGCTCAAGGTTGGCCACCACATCACTCTGCCAATGATGAAATGGCATGTACGAGCTTCCAATTCAACCTAAACCGTGAGGCATCCCTGGGTCAGAAATGAGATGGGAAGACCTCATCAATAAATCAATCAAAATATTTCTTTCTTAACCACACAAAGCCAGTCAAATAAACTGTTACAAGACGCGGACTTGTAAGGAATGAAAAGAGAAATTAATGATTCATTATTTGCAAAAGTAATTGATAGAGTAACTAACTGGTGTCTTTATATCCTAATGACACCTTGCCCTTTACGTGTCTTTATTACAGACGGTTACATGGCCACTTGTATACCAATAAGCCTATCAGAATAGTAACTACCTTTATATACACAATTTGGGCTACAACAATTAATACCTATCAGAATAGTAACTAACTATCTATATTCACATTGGGCTACAACAATTATTGTACATGGTCAATGGCCCAAGAAGAAAAACCCTTAATCCTGCAAGGTCTCTGATACAATCAACTATCAAGTAAGGAAAATATCTGTATTATTGATGAAAGTTCTACGGCAATTCGAGGTTGTCGGCAACTCCAGAGATTTTTAGGGAAGAAGAAGAAGAGAATTCTGTTACAAATGATCAGATATTTTCTACTGTAGTCTTAACTTCCTTATAAGGAATGGTGATAATGCTACTGGGTTCACTTAATAGCCCATTATTACAATTAAAAGGAATACAACTGCTGATGGACTCGCACACTGATCCATCCACTCCACTCAAGCATTCTCCTTTGGGCCTCCACCGCTCCCACCGACTCGGCCCACTAATTTCATCAGGTAATCCTGGGTCCATCTTGACCTCATTCTAACCCTTTCTCCTCTTCGTTGACTATCTCCACTCTTCTCTACTTGTTCTGTCTCTTCCATCTGTCCTGTCTCTCTCTGTTCGGTCTCTCCCATCTGTCTCGGTGGTTGATCGCGGTTGCCATCCTCCTTTGTAGGTGCCATGTTCGCATCAGATCCCTCCGTCCTTAAAGAATCGATCTTGCCCTCAAGATCGAATTGAGGAAAGGCATGCATGAAGTCCGTAACTGACATCCATGAAGTCTCCTCTAAAGGCAGCCCACTCCACTGGACGAGGACTTGAAGATCGGAACTATGGGGCATCTGAATAACCCGCGAGCGCACTATGGCCAGTGGTACGGTCACAGGGTGGTTGTCCCAAGCTACCGGTGGTAAGGAAAGAGGATGAAAAATCGGATTTTTCTGATATTTCTTCAGCAAGGACACATGGAATACATGGTGGATGCGTGAGGACTCCGGCAGTGTCAGACGGTATGCTACAGGTCCGATCCGGTCGGCAATCGGAAAGGGGCCATAATATCTTCGCCGGAGTTTGGAAAAAGTTTGCTGTCGCAGGGATTTCTGGCGATATGGCTGGAGTTTGACCAGGACTTGATCTCCCACGGCAAACTGGACATCACGACGGTGTTTGTCGGCCTGGGTTTTCATACGGTGGCGCGTGCGGTGTAAGTTGTCTCGGAGCTGTCGAAGAACCTGGTCTCTTTGACTCAGCAAAACATCAACGGCCTCAACGGAAGTAGCTGCTCCATCGTAAGGCTGTACTGGCGGTGGTAGTCGGCCATAAAGCACTTGGAAGGGGCTGAAACCAATGGATGAGTGGAAGGACGAGTTGTAAGAGAACTCTGCCCAAGGTAAATACTGAACCCAGCATTGGGGATTGTCCATTGTATAGCATCTTAAATATTGCTCTCACCCGCGATTTGTGACTTTTGTTTGGCCGTCACTCTCAGGGTGATTTGCGGTGCTGAAGTGCAGTTGGGTGCCACTTAGCCTAGAGAGTTCTTGCCAAAATTTACTGATGAAGACGCGGTCTCTGTCTGAAACTATAGAACGAGGAATACCGTGATGACAGCAGACATCCGAAATGAAAACCGAGGCTACCTTT